GTTAGTGCCAAGGAGACTTTTAATATTAGTAGTTGAATTACTCTAATACAGCTTAGTTTCTACTTTGTCGTTAAGTGTTTGCTTCAATGTTTGCTATTCGTAACACAGATTGCCTTAGCAGGATCCTCAAAAGATCGCTGAAAAGACGGAATTTAGCTTCGTCGTTTCCTGAAAGTGTCATTTTTAGGAAAGCAAACAAGTGGAAATACTGCACGAGCTAACAGATTACACGTTGAGTGATACGGCCGATTCGTTGCTGCAACTGAAACTCAACGATTTGCTTCGTGATGCGCGTCAGCTGCAAATATTCAGTATGTATTTGAGGGACATTCGTGCGCCTGTAAATGAGCTACATTTTTTACTCCATGCTGGTGATGCGCATCGAAGAATGCTGAATATACAACAGGTAGAAAAACAGTATTTTTTTTAATTTTATTAGCCCTCAACTTGGGTGTTCTTTGTCCAGTGCATGCTGAATGAGGGAAAATTACTCGCGTGATAAACAAAAATTTATCTGTAATTCATAGTCGAGTGTCCAGCTCAGCCTCCATGTGACACACGAAGGAGGGATGAAGGCTTGCGCGGCTGGAACAACGCTCCTGTGGGGTTGCGAGAAGCACTCACCCAATCCAACAAACAATGCTTTATTTGGAAAAAAAAACACACACACACACAGAAATAGAAACCAACCGCGAAGTGCGGAAAATCCGGCACCAGCTCCAAACTGCATCGCAAAGTAATCTTGCACAAGAAAACAGTAATCATTTCATTTCTAATCACATCATTATATATGACGGAGAGGGGAGGGGAGAGGGGGGAAGGCTGAAGTCAGGAGACGGGACATTTGCATATCACATGGAATCGAAGGGCAACTGGGTATGGTGAAAGGAATTAGTCGCCAACTTCATTTCCTTGCTGTTAACATGTTCTTTTTGCAACAAGTTGACAATTTTGACCTGTATCGCATTGTCTAGTTGACTAGACAGCAGCAAATTCGTTGTGCTGGCAATCTTAATGTCTGTTTCATTTGTTCAAGATTTCTGTTTAACCCTGGATAAAAGGACTGGTTTGCAATTGCCGCCTTCTTGTTATTTTTTAAGAAGTACTTTTTGTAACTACACCCATTCGTATCACTAAAATAGGATCTCTACACCGATTTTTCCGGTCGCCTTAGTATTCTTGTGAAATTTGGCAGCCAACTTCTTGTCTAGGAATTAGTATTTGAGGATTTAATAGAACTAGACTTCCGACTCAGGGGATACCCAGAGTTTTACCATGCAGCGAACACACTGCCGTCATTGTTTTATAAAATTTGTGCGAATCTGAGTGATGCATAGCAATAGGAATGAATTTTGCAGCATGATGATGCCTCACTGAGTGAATTACACTTTGACATCTGGCAGATATTTAGCAAGCACATTCACGAAGGCGCACCGGAGAAGATCGATCTTCCGAAAGAAGTTGTTACTGAATTCACCAGTGCTGTTGAAGGACACGATTTTGAGCTCCTCGATCGCTGCATCGAAAAGGTTTTTGTAAATTGTTTATGGCAACAGTGTTTTAGAGTTCACTGTATTTGAAGATATAGTAATCACTGGTTGGTTTAGTAAATTTTTCTCTCTGTTTTTATGTGTTTTGTGCTGTGTAACAGCGTTACAAAACGCATATTGTCACGGGGTTGTCTGTGTGTGTGTGTGTGTGTATGTGTACTTGTGTGTGTGTCCCACATTTTGTCCCGCACTTTCAACTCGGGAACCACAAAAGTTAGGCGGCTGAAATTTTGGTATAGTGTTCCCCGGTGAAGCGGCAAATTTAAATTCAGCTTTCCCGTACCCGTGAGTAACTCGTACGGCCCCGTGAAAGTTTTTTACGAACAAATCAATATCTCAGGAACCGCGGAGTCTAGGAGGCTGAAATTATAGGGTATTGACCACCTGCCCACGTTCGACCTTGCCCATTCAAATTCAGCCTTTCCGTGCCCGCGGGTAACACGTACGGCCCCGTGAAAGTTTTTTACAGGTAAATCAGTATCTCAGGAACCACGGACTTTGCCTATTCAAATTCAGCGTTCCCTCGCTGTTGGGTATCACTTACGGCCTTGTGAGAATTTTGACGGCTAGGCTATTAACTAGGGAATCCCGGAAAGATATTCACCCTTCAAGGTTTCGAATTCAGCGTTCATGCGCTGGTGCGTGAAATTTTTAATTATTTTCCAATTTTTGAACTATTTTTGCGTAGACGAAAATACAAAGCAGTGAAAATCATTAATAGACAATCATTCGATGGGCTGAATTGCACAAAACGCATGATCGGACCGGCTAGTCTGGTGCGCATTGCTATTTATTTTTTCCTGAAAGGGGTTGCAGAATTGTCCGCTGCGTAAAAAGCGAAGGTTCGGCCAAGAAACGCAAAAATTTGCCGAAAGATACCTGAGTATTGTGCCCTCTGTGACACAAGTTGGGTTCGGATTTATTAGAACAACGAAAATGCCAAAACGTTCACACTGAGCTGGGAGCTTCGGAATCTTGAGTTTCTTCGGTTGGCGCTGACCGGGTTCACACGGTCATTACGGTTCTAACGTTTCTTTTGTGCTTCGGTCGTCGAGGCTCATACTCGCAGTTTCTAGTCTACATCGGTTTACGCTACGCCGACCAGGCTACTTCGGTTTTCCACGCACAGTGCCCTAAACTCACTTCTTCGATCCACACTTCGGGTCGGGGCTGTGCACGCTTGATCCACGGATCGTTTTCGAAGGGAGCGCAAGATCGCTACTTGTTCCAAAACTAAGACGATTTGCAAAGAGCTGGACTGCTTTGAGAAGAATAAATGGCTGGGTTCGTTGAACTTACTGCTAAAATGCTAAAAATTGCCTTATCGCTGAAATGGCGCAATAAAACTTTCTTTGAATTGGGCTGCGTGCCTTCCCGTCCTTCGCTCCCCAGCTTTCTTCGTTGCTCTTTTTTAAAGCTTGTTTAACCGATTGCTTTTAAAACTGCGCATATTTCAGGCTTTTCAAATTGTGTACAGACGAATGCAGTACGATTATGTGGTACCATTTTGTCAGTCGGAGTGCTTCTTGGGTCATCTCTGTGGTTCACCTCCTGTATCCGTTGACGAATTAATTGCATCTAATGGACGCCCACATTCCAATCGCATTCTTTTGCCAGCTGTTGAATCCAACTTCTCAATAACTCAGTTCCGGTTAGTTGTTACTTCCAGGATATTCGCATAGGCAGTCAAGCCCTTCAGGGAAGACAAAAAACCTAGATCTTGCAGACTTTTGTTGGCATTTTCCCTTGGAGCATCGAGAAGGTCCGGGAATTCACTTGTCCGTTGAGTAAACCAAATTATTTTTCATCTGTGAAGTCCAGGGCACGCTTTTTTTCGCCCAAATCACATGGAAAAAAAAGTGCGGGAAGAAGGATAATGAAAATATCCGTCTGTTCATGCTATAGTTCGGAACGTGTTCATTCAAATTCGATGATATCGCCTGTTTGATTACTTATTTTTTACTTTTTCCTTTCCCTAGAGTTGTTCCTACTGGCACATTGTGCTCCCCCGAATGGTGGTCACGCCAGGGAGAAATGTAATTTCATCGTACATTATTATCATTTGAGCAACAGCTTCTTTGAATAACCCGATAAAACGCACATTTGGCTTTCCTGGAATTGTTAAGATCTCTCCACACTGCAACATTCAACGGCATCCTTATTTAACGAGTTTGTTTACTTTATGAGTTCTC